CTCTATTCAAGCCTAAGTTAATTGTATCCAGTTTGCAAATTAATTCCAATTCAGCAGTCTCTCGTTGGAGTCCGTTTTTGAAGTTTTTTTCTTGAAGAATTGCCACTTTTAGGTCTGTAATCGAGTGACCAGAGAGATTGAAGTGTTCTCCGACTGGTTTTTGAATGTTATAATTCTTGACGTCTGATTTGTGTCCATTTATTCTTTTACGTAGAGACTGTCCAGTCTGACCAATGTACATGGCAGAGGGGCATTGCTGGCACATGATGGCATATATCACATTGGTAGATGTGCAGGTGAACGAGCCTCTGATAGTGTGGCTGATGTGATTAGGCCCTGTGATGGTGTCCCCTGAATAGATATGTGGACACAGTTGGCAACAGGCTTTGTTGCAAGGATAGGTTCCTGGGTTAGTGGTTCTGATGTGTGGTTGCTGGTGAGTATTTGCTTCAGTTTGGGGGGCTGTCTGTAAGCAAGGACTGGCCTGTCTCCCAAGATCTGTGAGAGTGATGGGTCATCCTTCAGGATAGGTTGTAGATCCTTGATGATGGGTTGGAGAGGTTTTAGTTGTGGGCTGAAGGTGATGGCTAGTGGCGTTCTGTTATATTCTTTGTTGGGCCTGTCCTGTAGTAGGTGACTTCTGGGTACTCTTCTGGCTCTGGCAATCTGTTTCTTCACTTCAGCAGGTGGGTACTGTAGTTGTAAGAATGCTTGATAGAGATCTTGTAAGTGTTTGTCTCTGTCTGAGGGGTTGGAGCAAATGCAGTTGTATCTTAGAGCATTGCTGTAGACAATGGATCGTGTGGTGTGGTCTGGATGAAAGCTGGAGGCATGTAGGTAGCAATAGCAGTCAGTAGGTTTCCGGTATAGGGTGGTGTTTATGTGACCATCGCTTATTAGCGCTGTAGTGTCCAGGAAGTGGATCTCTTGTGTGGACTGGTCCAGGCTGAGGTTGATGGTGGGATGAAAATTGTTGAAATCATGATGGAATTCCTCAAGGGCTTCTTTTCCATGGGTCCAGATGATAAAGATGTCATCAATGTAGCGCAAGTAGAGTAGGGGCATTAGGGGACGAGAGCTGAGGAAGCGTTGTTCTAAGTCAGCCATAAAAATGTTGGCATACTGTGGGGCCATGGGAATAAATGGACACAAATCAGACGTCAAGAATTATAACATTCAAAAACCAGTCGGAGAACACTTCAATTTCTTTGGTCACTCGATTACAAACCTAAAAGTGGCAATTCTTCAAGAAAAAAACTTCAAAAACAGATTCCAATGAGAGACTGCTGAATTGGAATTAATTTGCAGACTGGATACAATTAACTTAGGCTTGAATAGAGACTGGGAGTGGATGGGTTATTACACAAAGTAAAACTATTTCCCCTTGTTTATTACCCCCCCACACACACTGTTCCTCAGACGTTCTTGTCAACTGCTAGAAATGACCCACCTTGATTATCACTACAAATGGTCCTCCCCTACCCCACCGCTCTCCTGCTGGTAATAGCTCACCTTAAGTGATCACTCTGGTTACAGTCTGTATGGTAACACCCATTGTTTCATGTTCTCTATGTATATAAATCTCCCCACTGTATTTTCCACTGAATGCATCCAATGAAGTGAGCTGTAGCTCACGAAAGCTTATGCTCAAATAAATTGGTTCGTCTCTAAGGTGCCACAAGTACTCCTTTTCTTTTTGCGAATGCAGACTAACATGGCTGCTACTCTGAAACCTGTCATTTGCAATACTGTATCTCTGTCAATTGGAGATGTGTTATATAGGGCCTTATTTTCAAACCAGTAAGCATACTTTTGTCCACCTATCTTGTGCATACTGTTGTGTACGCAAATCAAGTAAGGTGAACTTTCACAACTCTGAAATAGTGTATTTAATTTCCCCCCTAATAATTTCAGAGTGATTTAAGCAAGGAGCGTCTTTAAATTTTTAAGATCAAAATAGGAAAATTGAAAAAGGGGCGTGCCTGAGGGTTGCAAGAGATGTTCTTGTCTCAGGTATAAGTTATGAGAGAAGATGATGATCTACATCTTTCTCTTCATTTCACTGGGGATTTTGCAAGCTTCAGGGTCCCATTTTCACCCTGGCAAATCTCCACTTTTTACTTTGGTTTCTTTTACTAATGAAAGTGCCTGAAAGAAGAAGGTGGCTGTTATAAAGGCTAAGGGGTTCTTTTGAATTTTCAAAGCCATAAAAATGGCTTGGAGCAGTAAAACCTTTGCTATAAGCAAGTCTGAGCTTCAAAAACATTTGTAAAAAGTTTCTTATATAACAAAGAAACCGCAGGCTCCATATCTCCAAAAGATGAGCTAGTTTAAAAGTGTCCAGGACTTTCAGGTACAGTAACCAGTCTATTTTCAGGCTTTTTGAATGTAAATGTTGATGTCATTCCAGTATCACTTTCAGGCAGAATACTTCTGGGAACAATAGAAAACATGATTGTGGCACCCACCACAAAACCTATGTTACATACGAAATGATACAAAACATACAGAAAAGTAACCAAGGAAAGAAGAAGTGGGTATAATTTCATTTTGGTGCATGATGGATTTACACGAAGAACTTCCATTAATTACACATGTCTAATCCGCTGGCAATGCAAGTTGAGCATATACATCCTGAAGACAGTAATCAGAAAAGATAACTATTGTAGCATGAAAAATAAAATAGTAAGAAGCACTATCCTAATATTTACACTTGAAAAATCTGAGGAAAAAGAAGGAAAGGCTCCTGTAAAGCATATCCAAACTCATTTTGAGAAAGATAAGGACATGAGAAAGGAGACTCTGAAAATTACTCAAATGATATCTACAAAATTTCTTAATGAAACTCTTCAATACAGTGTAAACTAATTAAACCTCTGATGAAGATTCTTATGTTCTTATTCTTATACCCCCATAGGTACAACACTGACCTGCTCTCAAGAACATGATCTACAGTACAGGATACCCTCTCCCAACTCTGCATCTCCACTCCTGATCTGTTTTTACTATTCAGTCCTGCATCTGAGCCAGTCTCTCTGACATCTCCTGCAGGTTGCCTCGCTGTCAACGTAACATGTTTAAAGCTGAACTCTTTGAATCTGATTCTTCTGTACCTTCTAGCTGCATTGCACTAGTCTAAAGTCTAACTAGACTTGCTAGCCCCAGGACTGAAGAGCTGTAACAATGGTTTAAAGCCACTTTCTCCCTTTCCCCTCATTCTGGATTTGTGCCAAGACTGCTGGTCCAATCTACAGAATCTGGGCCCCTTTCTCCACTCCCATGGCCTCTCCAGTCCTCCCATTCCCTGTCACCATTAACACTTCCTCCATTCTAGCATGACTTGGGAGCCATTTTTGACTCTACCCTCTATCCTGCCACACCCAACCATGCCTTTGCAAATCTTTTCATATTTTACTCAACAGAATTTCCAAGCGCCAGCGTGTTCTCTCTTTCCATCCTGCTAAAGCTCTCACCCAGGCCCTGATGATCTCTTGGCTTAACTCCTGCAACCCCCTTTCCTCTGGCCTCACTCACACCTACTTTTGAATTCCTCCACTGACAACTCCTTCTCCACCACATCAAATTCAAGATCCTTCTCCTCAGCTTGTTAGGGCCTTTCTCAACTCTGCCCTTCCATACATCACTCTCTTGTACCTTCCTGAGATTGTTCCTTGCCACTTTTGCTTTCATAACAATGCCAAGCTTGAATGCCTGTATGTTCATTTCTCCCACCAGCACGTTTCCACTGTCTTCTGTGCAAAACCTCATGCATAGAATACCTCTCCAAAGTAGTATAGAGACGCTAGCCTGCCCTCCTCCAGATCCCTTGTTAAAGATTCACTTTTGCCACGATGCCTTCAGCAAACAGTCAGCTCAAGTAGACAACCAGTGAGGATTTCTGAGATCTATTTTAGCTACTTCTATCTGATAATTAAAAAACAACTTTAAATGATTCACAAACATTAAGTTGTGCATATAATCATTCTAGGTAACAATGTGCTGCTTTCACTATTACTCTTGTCATCCTTCTTCATTCCTGCCTTTAGTTTGTTTCCTTCTCTTGTTTATCTTAAATTAGATTTTAAGCTATTAGGACTGGGACTGCAGCTTTCTAATGTCAGCACATCACCAAGCATAATGGGGCCTGACTGGGGCTTCTAAGCACTACTGTCGTCACAATAATATGGCCAAGTAAATATGTTATGACTTTAACGATTTCTCACTCACAGTAAAATTAAAATATATTAACTAATTGACAGAAAACGTGCCCTGGCATGAGAAAATGTATAAACATGCAACTGAACTGAGCCTCTGCATCATTAGAACAATATATCCAAATATTTGTATAATGAAGAACGGATGTAAAGACAATGAACTGGCACTACCAACATAACAATTTGTTCACCATTGTATTCCTGTGATTAAAACAAACACAATACTTAACAACTAAAATAACTCCACAAGGAATGTGTTATGTTTACATCACTAACGCTAAAATTTTCTCTGTTTCTAACTGCTTGGGGAAAAAATGCTATGTTTAAGAGACAATAATATTATTCTATTTGGTACATGTATGTAGGCACAAGAACTAGTCCATGAATGTGCCATGCTTTTATAATTCTCTAAATAATGCCCTCTGCATTATAGGAGTCCATGCAAGACCTGAAAGATGGCTGGGAAAACTGGAAGGTTTACTCTGGCAAACCAAACCAACTCTTACACAGCAGAGCACAATCACTGTCAAATGCATTTCCCCCCACTAGCAGCAGTTGTACATTTTCATATATAGTAATGTATGTGTGGCTATTCTTACTCAAATGCTTCCCAGAGACTGTTTGGTTATATTTGCTGTCCTGCAGACGCTTACTACAACATGCAGGGTAAATGCAGCTAATAAGCATGATTAGCTAAGACACTATATTTCATTTAGTTTTGCGCTAAGGACTAATAGCCTACTCAGGGAAGGGGAAGTGCAACATTTTTTTTTTTAAGATGCTTACCCGAGGGCCCTGATCACCTTGATCTCCCTGCAAAGGGGAAAGATGAGATGATAGTTTTAACACAGCATCTGTGTGCTACCCAACTCTCTTACATAATTTCACATCGTACTGCATCAATATAAACTATGTGTTCAGTAAATACCAGGAGGGGTTTCCATTTATTTTGTAAGTGTTGACAATATGTGTACTCACCTTCTCACCTTTTGGACCAGGAGGACCCTAAAAAAAATAGAAAAAAAATTGACAAATTATTGATGCTAATGAAATTCAGTGATCAGTTACAGGGATACAGTAAGAAGCAGGTCTGAATGATCCAGAGATCTATCCCTAATGTTATGATTTCTTAATGTTTTCATTCCATAAGCTGCAGGTATTTTAGGGACAGGTTCTGCAAAGATTTAGTAGCAGGTGTAGTGGGGTTACTCCTGTTGAGTTGTGCACACGGTCTTCAATGGGATTACTCACAATAGTAAAAAACATGAGTGAACTCCGGGCAATAGCAAATGGCAATGGCAAAACTCCCACTGACTTCAACAGAGCCAGGATTTCATCCTACATCTGGTAATAAGCGTTTTCTAAAACAGTAAAACTTTTTACCAAATATGGCTAATAAATCTGTCATGTATTTTGGCAGCCTTCTTAAATTAGAAAAATAAAGGAAAATTAGATTAGGAATTCTAGGAGCATAGCAAGTCATGTTCAGTCCAGTGGTATACTGTGAGCGGTAGAGGAAAGTGAGCTCTTCTTTATCAGAATTCAGTTTGATATGACTTTTCAGAATGAAGGATAATTATTTTAAAAACACCAGACAAACAAAATGGTGTAGTGGTGATATTAGGGTGGCACTATAGGTTCTTTCATTATTCTCTGTGGTCTGAACAAGTTCCCAACTTCTGTGTTGTGCAACTGTCCAGAATCAACTTTCTAGACCCAGTTCTTAAGCTGTGGTTTGTGGATCACTTGCTGGTAGTCTGCACAGAACTGGCAGATTAAATGGTGCTGTCTCTGCCTACAAGTTTCCAGCTCCTTCTGAAGATGTCCAGGTGTTTCAGTGCAAATAAGAGTATGGTCACTGGTAAAAGCATCTGGAAACAAAGAGGACAAGCCCAGTCTAGTTGTGTTCAAAAGGGGCCATGGCTACAAGAGAAGGAGAGGAAAAAAGCACCACTACCAGAGAGCGGCACCACCCGCAGCATAGTTAAAACTAACTAAATATCTTCCTAGTGCTACTTTTCCATGTAACCAAGCTCTATAACTGCCAGAAGGATTTCATAATCATAAATGGCAGGGGAAGTGGTTTGCATGACTTGCAAATGGAAGAAGTGGCCCATGAAACACTGTCTATTAGGATGCTGGCTACAGCGAAAAAAGCTTTGAAAATTCCCGTGCTAGCCGGTTTCTGGTGCATTTTTAAGGGTTCCCCAGCATGAAGGAGAGCCCCTTCTACTACACCTTTTAAAGAGACGCAATGTATGTTAACTTCTGTAGCAGGCCATCTCTTCTGGCTGGTGCAGGGGGGAAGAATCAAGCCCTGGCCTCCTCTTTTCCTTCCCATTTCTCCTTTGGGGCAGCTAGAGGAGTGGAGCCCTTGCACTCAATTGAATACCATGACTGTCATTGTGGCCCTCTCCCCCTTATATCCCCACACAGAGGCTGGACACTGTCCCTCCCTGAAGTTTAAAAAACAAGTTAAAACAGATAAACTTGTGATGAACTTTTGTCTGTGTGCATTCACTTGGTCAGCTTACACACTGAGGTTCACATGACAAACAGTTAAAATTGCATGCAGAATTCTATATTCTGTGTCAGCAACTGACCCCATGAATGCTTGTACTGATGTGACTCAAAGGGATAATAATGCAGCACATTTTCAGCAGGCCTGCTTTAAAACATGTGAATATATATATATATATATCAAGCTTGCAAGCTCTCAGACAAACATATATCAACATTTACCAATAGTTACTGCAGAATAGTGTTTGAGAGTATAGCAGGTGTGTAATAATTGTTGGTCAATACTGACTTTAAAATGGTGACCACTGAACTGAGAATACAATATTGACTGTGGTTCCATTCCATTACCTTAAAAAAAATAATCCTTTAACTGAGCCTTGACGACCCACCAATTGTGCACTATAGCTAAGGGACCAGATTCAGTAATGCTGTATATTACACTCCCTGTGCTAGTGAGGCCTCTGCAACCCAAAGGTATTCAACTCAACTTAAGGAAGGGCAGAGCATTTTACTGCCACTGTACTCTCTTGGAATGCAGTTATTCACAGTCTGGTTTCAACAGAAACTCCACTGGCAGAAACTGCTGAAGGCATGGTACAACTGTTGCAGCTACAGCCCTTCCCGACCAGTGCCACGCACTTCTTGGGCTCACAGGCATGTAATTAGTCCACTATGACACAACTAAGGATGCAGTCAATTTGCACCACCACGACCTTCTTCCCAGGAGACATGCTAGAGCTCTGGGAACATGAATGTGAATCCAGCTTATGATTTTTAATAGAGCTGGTTCTACTATTTGTTTCAAATAACTTATCCAATGATTTTTGCCCTCTTTTCTCTTTGTAGATTATCCATGAAAAAACCCTGATTTCTGTGAATTAGTTAATTATTCACAATTGTCTGATGGCTCAAATTGGTTGATGTGAGTATTTGCTTTTTGCACAATATGGCTAGTTACCCAAGTCACGTGGTATTGTTTCTGTTTATTGATTGGACATTTTATAATTTAAAAGAATGCACCTTTCTGCTTACAAATTATCCAAAAGTATTCGTTAATGTTCAACAAATCTACTGTATGAACAAATAAAAATATCTTTTCAAAATGGCCACAAGCGCATTTTTGGTGTAAATACTCTCACAAACACTTGTACTTTTATTCACAATGCTTTTACTTTCTGTGAGCTCTCTTGCAAATAAAAATTCGCTCTTGTAAATACCAGTAAAGGGAATCAGTGGCATTTCATTGTAAGAATATTCAAGTAATATTTTATGGCTGTATTTACCCAGCTCTAATTTTTGAGAATACCATTTCCATTGTTTTGGGAACTTTAAGAAGGAAATCTCCAACCCTCAGCCTTTGTCATCTTCTTTCCATTTGTGTGGAGAAATTCTCCCAAGGTTGTACTGCAGGTTTTATTGATGTGTGTGTTTTCGGGAGAGGGAGGAAAGGCTGTATGGATTTGGTCTGAGGCAAAGAGATGTTTGTGGAGGTGGGGTGAGAGTTGGGGACTGGTTTGTTTAAAGGAGGGCAAGTGTTGCAGGGGGTTTGTTTTTCCCCAAAACTCTATTCTTTCTTCTTAAGAGCATAGAAACAAAGAACTGAGTGAGTTAAAAAAATGCTAATTTCGAAGGCTGCAACAGAGACATCTTGCCCTTTTTCCAAAGGAGCTTTCTGTGCTTTCGTCTGTGAGATGGCAGAGATCAGGCCTCTAACTGCTGCACAAATGTGAAAGCATTTTGTGTCTGTTATGTGAAACGTCTGAGGTCAGAACATTTCTGAAATAACTTTACTATGTTTTCACTGGAAACAGAGGCTCTTTTCTCAAAGAGTAATTATCTACTGCAGACTGCCATACATTTTCAAATACAGTTTATAGCCTCTTTGGCATAAGCAAGGCCTCGTAAATCACAAACACATGCAAAATTTGCATTCATAATTAGGTGATAAATACTGCTCTTTTTAAAACAGGGTGTTCCAAAGCAGACTGAAAGGCGTCCAGGCACCTGCCAACTGAGAACAAAGCTGAAGTAAGGGTCAACTATATTTTACAGCTGTTGCTGCCCCTGAGTACAGACACAAGCTACATTTATACATTCAGGATTAATGGCAGGTGCTTCTTTCTTGCTGTCTTGACTGCAGCCACATTTCCATTCCTTTGTCACATCCTTGTTATTATAAATGGGTATACAAGGAGTGGAAGGCCAGGGCAGTGTGAGAATGGACAGCATAAGGCCTAATCTTGTAGTCTGCATTCAGACAAGATTCCCACTGAAGTTTATGAGAGAATTATCTGAGTAAGGTCTGCAGGATTTAGCCCATAGGAAGTATTTCATGGCACATTATCTAAAAGTTGCTAATTTTTTTACTTTACTCTACCGTGACAGCTATTTCCCACCTGTAAAAGTGTTCTGATGATCATAGTAGCAACGTCTTCTCAACAGCCAGTATTTAAATCAAACAATTTAAAAAATATATTTGATTGTGCATTCTGTTATCCTCCAAGCTAGTCCAACTTTTCTTTAAAAGTATAAATACAGCCACAATCTTCCGTTCATTATAGACCCCAACTTTAATCTGCATAACATGTCTCTGCATTAAGAACTAGTATACTGTATATTCAACAAAGAAGTCTCCCAACTTTACTCTATGGTCTGTCTCTACATATGATCTGTTTCTATACAAATAGTTAAACAGGACATGAAATAATGAGTGAGGCTCAATAATTTAATAGGGAAGATGTAGAGTGTATAATGTAGTGTGACACCTGACAGATCAAGGATACCCAAGAAGAGGAGGTTTAAAGATATAGCAATATGCCCAGGTTACACATAGAAGGCCAGATTCACAGCTGTGGACCCCAAGGTGTGGGTCCCTGGTGACAGTAAGTTCATTCCACTCGGAGCAGTAATGCACATGTGCAAGTTACCGGCAGTCTCCGGAGGCCAGAGGTGATTGGCACAGGCCATGAACTGTGTTCAGTAGCCTGTGATGATACAAGGTCAACACAGGCAGTGCATCCACCAGTGGGGCTTCTAGGGAACCCCAAGTGTAAAACAAAGCTGTTCTCCCCTAGTAGAACCACTGTGGAAGGGACTGATAATACTTTTTTTCTCCCTTCTCCTCTTTTCTACCCCTCAGCTAGCTTCCTCTGTGAGCCCCAGCAGAGGTACCAACTTTCTAATGTGCCGGGGTGTGCTTGACCCCTGCTGTGCCCCAGGTCCCGCCCCCACTCCACCCCTTCCCCCAAGGTCCCACTCCCACCCTGCCTCTTCCTGCCCCATTCCACCCCCTCCCCCCGAGTGCACCCCACCCTCACTCCTCCTCCCAGCGCCTGTTGCATGCCATGGAACAGCTGATCGCAGAAGGTGGGAGGCGCTGTCTGGGAGGGGGAAGAGCTGATCAGGGGGGGCTAGCGGTGGGTGCTCAGCACCCACCATTTTTTCCCCATAGGTGCTCCAGCTCTGGAGCACCCATGGAGTCAGTG